AAAGCAGTAGCTAAGTAACTAAAAATATATTTATGCAGCAAAGCTGGTATTATCAATAAATGATTGATTACATTATACTAAAAAAATATATAATTAGAGAACTAGGAAAATAGTAAGGAGATAACTGTTTTTAGAAATAAATGACAAATTTTAGACCATTTGGGGCAGAAAAAGTTAACAGTATTTATTTATTTATTTTGACCGGCCAACAAAGAGTGGGTCACTCAAAGCGTAAGTATAAGAGCTTTAGGTATCAGCAAAGTATAAGAACGAAACAAAATAAACTACACAAGTTTCTGGACTTACTGATGATGGCATTCTTTTCCTTGTCGATGCATTGCTTCGCGGGGATGTCTTTTCGAGCAGTGTGCAAGCCTTTTCATGTAGAGACTTTGTTCGCCTCTCCTCCACGGTGAAAACAATGCGCACCAAGTGCCGGGCAAACTTGTGTGGTTGGAATTCATAGTTTTTGTTGATTGTAGCCAGCAGTGTTGCAGTAACAGCTTTATGCGTGTTACCCACCAGAAACAAATTGATTTGTGTGTGTGGATACTAAGGCCGCGCGATGCTTCTCTTTACGCTTGGTCGTTTCTGTACCACATCGCTCGCTTGTATTTGTGGACCGAGGCACAGAAATGAACAAAACTTTTAAGCAAACTGCAAGAGTCCATACATTCGTGAAATAGCTTATTAGTGAAGTTGAAAGTACCGGTCGTGGTGATAATTTTCTCGTCGTAAAATTCTGCACGAGTTCGGCCGTCTCCACGCCACCAACAGTAGTAAGTTCGGTCGGCATCGAAATCGTTTACACTTTCGGGTTGGAAGTCCTTTATGGAAGAATTCAGCAGTTTTCTTAAAGCCATCCAGGACATACTTGACTCAGACGATATACATGATCAGCTCGGGTGCGGCAATAGAAACAGGACAGCGAATATGACAAACAAAATCATGAATGTACACAAAGTGAGGAAATGGGAATCCGGGTGACTCGGGTCTTGGGAAAGATGCGCGCATTATAATCTAGTAGTGGAGTAACTCGGTAACTCGCCCTTCCTGGTTACTACAGTAAACATAAATATGTATTTCAGGTATAATTTTTTATTCTGATATATTTGGACTGATAAATAAACATGAAATATGTTCCAACGCCTACAACGCTTTTGGCAATAAAGCACACATCCAGCCGTGACGCACCTGCGCACCGCGGGTGGCGCTAGCGCGCTGGGACAACTCTCCGGAGTTACGTTAATGACGAGTTGTGCCTGAAGCCACCGCACAAGTACTATGCACAAGTGCATGTGTTGATGTTTGTGCTGGACTTGCAATCATGTTATTTTTATGTCTACACATGCGGTGAGCACGATTCCACTGTGTTCGTTCCCAGGAACGACAAGTTTTTGGGCAATGCGATTCCCTCTCTAGAACGGTTTTATTTCAGCTGGTACTGCTAGTCCTTGCACAAAAGTACCAGCTCTAAGCATGTCAGTACAAGTGATGTAAAAGACAGAACAATAAAGTACTGCATTCAATTCACTGCAGACAATATGACTCGCGACAACGTTCCATGTGTTTTTTGCATACTTGCCGGTCTTTTTAGGAAGTGGTGGTTTAGAACTACGCTGAAATGTAAAGTCCAGTACACAAAATATAATCTTGCAATCAGAATGTTTAGTTTTCTGCTAAAGTGTGTTATTTTTATTTGCTGTTGTTTTATTCTCATTGGCATAAACAATGCTACTTATAAAACGTGCTCCGATTTGAAACTTTCATTATAGAATAGAACCAAAAGGGCATGGAAAATACACTCGTTGCTATCAATCATCTTTGCATCTCGTAATAAAGGTGTTAGCCATCTTTTACGGCAGGACATCACATATCATACAGAAACATTTAAATCAATCTCTGGCGCAGAATTCGGTTGCGGATAAGAAGCCTACGCTGGTACCCAGGAAGAGCCAACCCCACGAGAGAAATTGGAGCTCTGTACCTAGCCTCGCCATGCGTCTGAATGTACCTACATTTGCTGCCATTTATTCCTTTGGCTTGATAATGGCAGGTTGCAAATTTGCCAGCGTACAGCACATGTTGAAGCGTCATCCATCGGGGGATCAGAGTAATGGGCACCGTTGTCCCGAGTATATTAATTCGCTGTATCATTCGCTCAACGTGAATTCGGACCTGGGCAAAGTAGTGTGTCGCACACTTCTGGCTCACTGAACTGCCCATGCACCGATAAAAAAGGCGGCATCACGAGCACGGCATCAGTGTCTGCCAGACTTTCCCTGATACCCGGAAAACATTTGTCAGCCAGTATTACGTCCCCGGGCTGCACAATGTTTCAGAACCTAGAGTCCACCGTAAAATGGATGTCGGAGCATCGGCCTCCGTACGCCATTGAACGGAAACAAATAGCCCCATTAGGGGTATAGCAACCAGAAACTTAAGAGTGTAGCCACTCACGTAGCTCGAGTACAGCACGCGCTGCTGGCCTACACTATTCGGCGTCTCTGTTCTCACTTCGTTGGAATCAATATTCATTTTGAATTTAAGGTAGTGGGCTTCAATACACTCTGGCAACATAGCCCGCATAATGCTAAATGGAGGCCGAAAACTCCACCTCGCTGTCGCAGCAGTCAGCGTTGTTAGCACAGCTCGAAAGTGGCGTGATGCCGTTGTTCTGTCAACACTAAAAGTACACCAAGTGCAGTGTAGCTCAACCCGAGTTTCAGCTTCATTAGAAAGAAGAGCAGCCGGTTCCCCAGCGTCAAACACAGCTCCGCTCTGGGACAAGGGGCAGCATGCTCAAAAACAAAGCAAATGCACTCATGCTTAAATTTCAAATGCCTTGTAACGAATCCTCTGAATGTTGGATGCCTTCATGACCTCCGAAGAAACTTGTCCTCTCAGCTGGACCTGAATATTTGAAGATACCCCTGGCCGGTGCTGTGTCCTAAAGTCGCAAACTTCGCGATGTGTGATTTGTGTGCAACCATCTCCACCTTCGAGGAAGCACGTGTAGGCTGCAAAGCCTCGACTGTAAGTACCGAGATCATCGGTCTGGATGTCCTTAAAGAGCATTTCCTATTTTGCGAATATAGAGAGGCCAGCCATGAAACGTGCATTGTTTTGGTGCTGAAAGACAGGTGCTCTAAGGGAGCTAAGGCTCTATGTGTGCACTGCGGCGTGTGTTACAATCACCGTACTAATTTTGATCTGCCACAGAATTAGTCTTTCCGCTATTGGCAGTGAGTGGCTGTAACTAGCATCCCGGATTCCCTGACCCCAACTGCGACGGCGCAGGTCAGTCGGCACATATTTTTTTTATTATCCGACTAGCTCGGCTTTTGATATGCAGATTTAGTGAATGACATATCACCTGGTTTTCTGATGCTTTCCCGAGTTTCTGTTTCAAAATACCACCTCCCAACAAAAATTAAAAAGAAAAATTGGGTTCGATTTTTGGTCTGGTTATGCAAAACTAAGAGATTGATTCCTCTACGACTTTTTGAAGAGCTGGTTATCTTAGCTCGCGTCTCCAGTTTAGCATTGTCCTGACTTCGATGTATTCTGGTTTGTGTCAGATACCTTACTTGAACCCCAATAAACTCACTTACTTCGTTATTATTGGCGAATCTCACTTCGAGTGATCCATTCGACGGAGAGTGCAGTAGCACTTCCCATGATCATAAAAATCATTAAAGCAAAAGCGAAAGAAGTTCAAAAGCACGAGCCAGGTTTTTTTTTTTAAATGCACGGTGTTCTTTACCTTCCGATTGGCTCATAATCGAGTATATTTTTTATTATTTTTCTACCTTTCGGGGTCTGCATAAAATCAATGCCGGCTCAGACTCAAGTAAATAGCGTACCGAAACAAAATCGATTTCATAGTACGGCTGTAACCGTAACAAAGCTGCCAGTTTTTCGGTTTGAGTTCCTACTTTTCAGCTTCTGTTGCATTTTGCTGCAATCAAAAGATGGCTGGGAACAAGTCAAAATAACAACCAACTCACCACTGAACACTTCTTCTGAAGTTCTACAGCTTTACGCAGCAGCTCCAATTCCCGTTGTGGGCTTCCACTGCAATCTGAATCATGCTTAGAAAACACTGGGCTGGTTCCACCTGTAGATGGTAATCCTGAAGATCCTGCAGTTGAGGCAGCTGAACATGTTGATCGCTCCCACCACCTGCAAACAAGTATGCACAATCAAATACATATCTGCTAATTTTGCGCTATACACTTCCTATCAGAATACTGAGAATCGCAGGTGTCATGTCACATGTTCAATGCCATAGAAGGACGAAATGAATGCCATGGACTCCCAGTTGGGCGAAAAGGTTCCGTTTACAAGGTACACTTTAAGTGCGACATTGTCATCTTTGGTGTGTCATTAGGGCGATTTGAGAAGTGGTTTGCAGAGAAGGCCTTTAGGCCTCATAGAGGCTTCTTAGAGAGCTCTAGGCCTCTAAAAAGCACTTATTTATGTCAAATTATTTTTAAACACCACCGCCACCCCACCGAGCACCACCCGTGAGGGCAGCTCAAACACCACCGCCACCGCCACCGCCACCACCGGCAAAAGCGCCACCCGCGAGGGCAGCTCAAAAACCACCACCACCACCCCAAGCGCCACCCGCGAGGGCAGCTCAAACACCACCACCACCACCCATATCCTCTGATGACGAAGACGCGGAGTATCTGGTACTCGATAGTTATAGCGCCTCGTCGTCGTCTGCGTCTCCACCACCCGTTTCGTCGCCTACCCATCCCGCAGCTAGAAAGAAAAGGGACTCGGTATTGGACGACGCCTCTGACCGCGCAATGTTGTTTACAAACGAAGAATACGGAATGATGGAGTCACCGGCATCGAGCGCTATAGAAACCCCCAGGTATTCCGGCGTGACGACGTTTCACGTTCCGCAATACAATTTTGAACTGGCCGAAAGTAACGCGGACAAGGTGGAAGCCATCAGGCGACAGTTTAGAGAAATCTTGGGCCCTATGACGATCGAGACCTTAAACCATTACACGGTAGATCAGGGTTTTGCCTACAAACTCGAACGCGCCTTTGAGGAACTCGGCGCGGTGCGCCAATGCGAATTCCTCTACAAGGCGCTCGTGGCAGTTAAGCGCATGACCAGGGTGGACGTGGCCTTTCGCAACGTGATCGAGTTTATAAATTTTGTGCTGCGCCAAGACGACTACAGGGTCATGAACGTCGTGTTGAAAAACAACAAAATCGACGTCGAGTGCTACGAACGGGTCGACATCGTGGAGAAGCAAATCTGCAAGCGGCAGTGGCGAGTCGAATTTAAAGAAAAGTATGGACGAGAACCGAGCCTGGCCGAGGAACTGTCCAGAAATCGCGACTTGAACGCTCGAGCGTTGTGTGATGCGGTGATGGATTACGAGGGAGGGCCCTCGATACTACAATTATAAAAATGATGGAATCGGACTAGCAGAAAAAAATATTGAGGAAATTCATCGAGGACTTTGTGATTGGTGAAGACATTTGGGAACGCACTGCCGTCGTTTATAAACCATATCAACACCTGTACACGGGCGACGTGTTGCGATACTTGCGGATTCAAACGGCCATCCGAATGATCATGGACGACGAGCAAAAAAAACCTACGAGAGCCCTATGAGACGCTCTGTTTGAAAACATATCCACGTTCGTTCGTTTCGAGAGAATGAAGAATAAGCGTCGACGGACCGGCGCCCGCCGGACAAAGAAGACGGGTGAGGGATTTTATTCCCTGACAAAAGTCCCGGACATTAGTAGTCTACCGACAGACGTGCGATTGGAAATTGAAAAGTCCTTTACTCCTAATCCGAAATTGAAGACTCAGCTAAATAACCTTCTTCTGAGAAAGGCGATCGTACAATACTGTAAGCAGCGTCAGTACGACATATCGCAGTACCCGACAAACGTTCTGGCCAAACGCTACAAGTTTAGAGAGATACCCCGCGACGTCCGCGAACACTTTGAAAAGGGAGTCGCCACCCACAACTCTGTCACCAAGCACCCGCTTTCGACAACGTTTCGCGAAAACGCCATCGCCGTGAAGGTCTCTTCTTACGTGAACAAACTCAAGAACAAAGAGCGTCTTCCGACGCGCGTTCCAGAAAATGTCGAGGCTCTGTTGAGAGGCATGGCTTTTAACGAGTAAATAAAAATGGTCAAATGTTCCAAGTGCGGTTTCTCGAAACGAACCGCCAGAACAAAGTGTTCGAGATGCAACAGGAACGGTCGTAGACTCGATACGAGAAAGCCGTATCGCCTCGAACATTTCACCAAGGAAGATCAAAGGCGCATTCTCGGCTCAATGCGGGTTAAACGAGGACAGAGTCCAACCTACCTGAAACTTTTATTGGGGAAACTAATTCAGGCCTTTGCTCGCAAACACCGACTGCCGGCGTCATGTCCGATCAATCGAGCCAGGCACGCGCTGATAACTCACGCGATCCTCGACAAGATTCGACCATCGAGTCAAAGAACGAGGAGGAGTCGTAGCAAGAGCGTCGCGCGGCGGAGGACTAGGAGCAGGAGCGGAAGCGTCGCGCGGCGGAGGAGCAGGAGCGGAAGCGTCGCGCGGCGGAGGAGTAGGAGTAGGAGCGTTCTCTCCTCGGGTCGAAGAAGAGGAAGGAAGAGGAGTCGCAGCGTCGGCAACAGGAGGAGCCGTAGCATTTCCATCAACCGAGGCCGACTCGGTCGCAGCGTCAGTGTCGGTAGGCGAACAATGTCCAGAAACGCCAGCAGCGACTCCAAGTACATGTATCCCGTGTAATAAAAAAATGTATCAAGTGCGCGTGGATTATTCTTTCGACCAACTCCCGCCGAGCCTGCTCAGGTTTCTCACGAGCGCTCACGAGGGGTTGCGGTCGGACAAGAACCGTCTCATAAAGCGTGCCAACGACGTGATCAGAGACTTTCAGGTCTTTAAGATGCACAAGCGCAGCGCCCCAATTTTCGTCAATCAATTTCCAGTTCACGTGTCGAATGACATGCACTCGATAGTGCCCGTGCGTAACCAGAAGGGCGACGTCATGTGCGGAAGGGAGTACGCCGAAACGGCCAAGGCTATTCGATCTAACTCGTTCTATCCCGTGTTTAAAGCGAGAAGCGACGGCGCAGCCCTGTTGGAAACCAAAGTCGGTAGGACCACCGGAGATAATCATTCGCCCTACGTTTCGGGAGTCTTGGTGAACGTAAACATTGACAAGATATCTAGCAAGTTTCACGACGTGGTCACCAGCCGCTCGATCAAGGTGGGGCAGTGGATCGACGTGATTCGCGACCCACCGCCGTCCTTTCTGGAAACCATAGTCGTGGCCTACGAATGGTCGAGCTAGGCGAGTTGTATAGGACAATAAACGGCGACTTTACAAACTTGCCCACGCACGACACGTATTATTCCGACAACATCGTGCACCAAGAGTCTGGTGCAAAGTTTCGTCCAAACGCGCGCGACAACGTGCGAAAGGAATTCAAGTATCGCGTTTCCAATCGCCCCAACTACAGGATCGTGGACGACTGGGAAAAGAGACCGCTGGGTCCGTCCACGGATAGCTTCTTCCATTCGACCGGCGGAGGCCGCTACAAATCGACTCTGCGTACCAGACGGACGGTGTACGAGACAAATAATAATAATAATAATGAGCCCAAGTTTCACGGAAATTCGGACGACGACTACGCTGAGCGCAACGTGGATAGCGACGACGACGCTGAAGACGGTGACGACGGTGACGACGACGTCAGTGACGAGATCAGGCGCTACAAGTACAAGAGATACTACACCGAAAGCGATCACATTATGCGAGCTTTGCGCAACGTCTAGTACGTGTCTTTTTTGAAATAAACAAACAATCATTCGAGAGGCTTTATTTTTCTACATACACAAAACGTACGTATATATACGCGCGCCTGCCGAAGCGCGTCGACAAACGTAGAACATGACCGGAGTAGCATCCAGCGTGTCCAAAGTGTTTCGCGAGGCCACCAAGTTTGATCAATCGCGAACCTTCGACTGGAGCAGAGTAGTGGCCAACGTTTATTCGGAAGACTCAAATGAGGAAGAGTTTGAACGAGAGAGGGTCGTCCTGTTCTCCGAAATTTGTAAACTTTCTCATGTGTCCGCGAACGCTCTGACCGTTTTGGACCTTGTCGACTATCCGACCTTGGAGGACGCACAATTGTTGTACATTGTTTGTACGTATACGCACCTCAAGACCATACTCCTGAGGAACGCCCCCCTATTGTCAAACTCTGCTCTACAATACTTGGCGACCTACGCTCAATCTCTCGAACATCTTCAAATCAGCAACAACGGTGGCCGTATCAGGAACGAGGGATGGATTCATCTGGCTCCTTTGCGTCGACTCAAGAGTTTGTGTCTGACTGGAATAAGAAACGCCAGTCGAGCTGTCCTTCGAGTGATATTGCAGAACAACGAATCTATATACGCTATCTTGGTGATAACGACGGAACTCTTCGCCTCTAAAGATAACGTGACGCACTTTGTCTTTTGCGCTTCGAATCAGTTGAGTCAGGAAATGTACGATTTTGTTTTTTGTAGCGAAACGTTATCTCCGTTTTCAGATAGCGAGTGAGGGTATATATATATATATGTACTCGCACGTACTACGCTTACAGCAAAGCTAACCCTACCCTCTCCCCCGACGTCACGACACGACACGACTACTACCCTATAACCCAAAGCGACAATGGCTCGACTAGACAGGTCCCCATCTCTCCCGCTGGCCGACACCTGCGTACAAGTGTTCGCTCAGTCCAGAGTGTCAAACGTGGTGGATTGGAAAACAGTGGTGCTTAGTATATACCACGAAGAAGAGGGCTACGCTTGGGACAACGTGGAAGGGCAAATTCACTGTGCGTATACCGAAATTTCAATATTAAGAAGCTTTCCTACGCACATCACATTCTTGGAGTTGGTGCACTATCCAATGCTGCGAGACCGCCACGTCAGTGATTTGGTTCGTTTCTACCCGAACATCAAGACTTTGCTCCTACGTCACGCACCCGGCTTGACCAACGACTCTGTAAAGTGCTTAGCGGACGGTCTACCTAATTTGACTCACTTGCAGATGGGATCGTGCTATCACCTAGACGACGAAGCCTTGATGTATCTCGCAGAAAAGAGGATCATCGACGTTGGCATACGGAGCCTCTGCATGACCGGACTCGGATTTATACGCCGAGAAACGCTTCACCAATTTCTCAACGTGCATCGAAGACTGACGGCCATCCTACTCACCGCTAGAGACGTCCCCAACAAGGACGTCTACCTTGGTGAATACACATTGTGTATTTCTAGCACAGTGTCTCCGTCACTAAGAAACATTGCGCCAACCGACCTAGACGTTATCGAAGGTGTGGACGGTGTTGTGGGTGACATCGAGTACCAAGACCTCGACAGTGACGACGGTGACGGTGACGACGGCTACAGTGACGACTACGACAGTGACGCCGACGAATATCTCGAATCGGACGACGACAGAATGCTGGGTCCGATCGTCCTAAACACCTTCAACTACGACGAAGGAGAAGACTCAATGGGCGAAGAAGACGACTGAGTTATGCTTGAAAATAAATATTTCGCGTGCTTATATTTTTGAGTCACGAATCGTTCTTTTGCATGCACACTACACTAGTGCCAGTACAAATAGTTTATTTAATGAATTCGATACATTCCACTCACTGCAGATTTACAAAGGCAACACACAAATTGCTCTCTCGAATTGTAAATCATTGGAAATAGACAATTTAAACATAAGGCGGCGTGGGCACAGGGCAAAGTAACTATACACACCGGACAGTTCATGCAGACGACGCAAATCGTCGTGGACGGATCGGACCGCTTCATGGAGATGCTCGTCTTGTCGATGCGCGTGGATACGGACGTCCTACGCTCAGCGCCGAAAAAGAATCGCTGTTTTCGAGAAAGGACTTTAGCTTGTTCGGACAGGAAAGATCAAACTTGGAAGTGGCCAATGCTGTTATAAAGTCTAGGCTGTATTTGTTTGAGACAAACTCAATGTCCTTGGTATATTCTAGCAACCAAAATAAATCGCTATTTCTATACACGTCGGACACCTCCTTGATGTAGGTTACGCTCGCGCACAATCGAAGATGGGGGCAGCGAGGGTTGTACTTGGCGTGTTCCTCGACTGGGTCGTCGTAGTCGGCTTCCCACGAAAGCAACCGAAGTCCGCAACAAAAGCATTCCACGGTCCGATCGGTCAGGTAATGAAATCCCGCAGATGCCATGTAATCCACGTCAAAGACGTCTTCTTCTTTCGGCCGAGCGTCGAAGGAGGCGAACCTCGCAGTGTAAGTCTGAAACTCGGGCCTAAAGGCAAGCGCTCGTTCGGTCACCACCGCCGAGACGTCTGGACTCAGCGTGCGTAGCGGTGCGTCACAGTCGGATTCGTGCAGTCCTTGGGGAAGTGTTTCGTCCGAGGCCACGATAGTAGAGAGTTGAGTCTTTTGCTGGCACATCGAGCAGCTGAGAATCCGCTTCTCTGGATCGTAGGCGAGTCCTGCCATGGCAAAGTCCTTGGGTGGGGGGGTACTGTTGCGCAAAGGCCACGTCGCAAAAGTTTTAAAGTCGGACATCACCTTGGCCACAGTCGGGTCGTGGTCGAACGAACAGTCTCCAGTAGAAAGACATGTTCTTAAGCAAAGTAGACTCTAGAAATAAAGTCGATTTTGAGTCTACAGGCCTTGCAATGTTTGAATAATATGGTGCAGTCGAAACACGACACGCAGTGTCCGCACGGCAAGTAGGCAATGTTAGCCGGAGCCTTCATGCATACGATGCACCTCTTAGTTGATTCGTCACGTGACTTTATAGCGGAATAGTGCGTATCACTGATCGCGCTATCTATCACAAAGTTACCCCACCTACCGATAGCCTTGTGATCGAACGAAGGAAGGGCGTTCACTGGCTCAAACAGAGTGTGACTGCCCAACGGAGTCGCCTTGCTGCTCCGAATGGCACTCACCATCGCCGATACGTTCAAGGGATGCGTCAGGTTGGCCGTGTACAGAGTACTCATAGTCCTGTTGCGGAACTTTGGGTCCTTGACGAGATCGTCGATCTCGGGAAAGTGAGACGCCCAGTACATCTCGCTCCTGTAAAACTTTTCGACTGCATCGTGCACGTAGTAATAGGTCTTGTTCACTCGTAGAAACACGCAATTGGGGGACCTGCGGGCGTGTAGCAGCCACGGATCGTCTTCTTCGCAGTCGAGGATCGAAAATACTTGCACCCCGCAGTAGAAACAAACGATTATGCGGGTCACTATCTGTTCGCGGGAGAGGTAGCCCTGCTCGTCGTCGTGCGAGCAGAAAAAGCCGGCCTTGGCGAACGCAGGGCCTCGAACATCGTGAAAGGTCTTGGCTCGAATCTTCTCGTCGACGTATCTCTTGTAGACCGGGTGAGAGTAGCTCGGCAAGACGGACACGACCTTTGCTACGTTCAGCCGCGGGTCCCTGTACTGCTCGAGAAACTTGCACGGCATTCGGCGGTGAAGGTCCATCGGGTGAAACGTGAGCGTCTCCCAGTCCTGTTCGGCGACTTGAAATTTGCAGTGCCGACAGTAGATGTGTTTCCGGTCAGCGCAATATTCTAGGCCGGCATAGGCAAAGTCTCGAGGCGTGGCTCTGGTGCGAAGTCGCCATTCGGCGAACGTCTTGAAGCGACGCACGACTTCCTTGCTTATGGGATCCGTAACGAGGTGCGCCATAGCGACGATAATGAGAGGAGCCCTCTACTCGGTGCGCAATATATATTCTCTCCATATCTAGGTTGACCTCGACTGGGAGCGGAGTCGACCTCCCATAGGCGGTAGCAATTTTGTTTATTATAAAAATGTCTGTCGCAGAAAATTTTTTAGACCTGTTGAAAAAGGGACGATGTCAACACTCGGTGAATCACGAAGACGCCACCGATATTTTATTACCCGTATTCCGGCAGCGGGGAAATCAAAACGTGTCTTACAGGAGAGATGGCGATAAATACGTGCCCACGCTCCTGAACGACACGTCGACCTTACTCGGCTACTCGTCCAAGAAACTCATGCAGCACATTACCAAGGCGCGCACGACGCTCCTGACCAACGGAGATGTGGAACCGGTTGCAGATATGCTCTTTCGCGTTTTCGAGCTCGGTAGTAACATACTGATGACGGTCGACATGGATCAGATGGCCATCCAAACGCTCCTGAATGACAATACAGTATTTCACTGCGTAATGGGAATCGAATACGTACGAAACAGTCTCAACATACTTAGGAAAACCTCTTCCTCGTCGACCACTCAGCGCGTCATCAGGGATCTGAAGCCGTACGTGGACGCGTACGCTACTGCCATTCTGCGCCTGCTACTCCTCTACATCGAAGAGATCTTTTCCCATGCGCGCGAGGCGACTCGCGGTATGGCGGTGGGCGCAAGGACGGCAGCCAAGATTACGGCGGTCATGCTAGTATCCCTGTGCAACTACGCGGCGGTGCGCGTAAAGTGCAACCCCATCTTTCAGTTTGAGAGCGCCATGGGCCACAACTGGCTCGACGTGGCCAACGGTCTCAGCCTCGTGCACAGGATCACGCAGCCACACACCGTCAACGAAAACATTGTCGGGGCCATTCGCGTAAAGTTTTCGCAAAACAACAAGCCACAGGACGTCATCAACCTCCTGGTCGAAGAGAGCAACAGGTTGTACACGAGTAACGTCGAGAACGGAGTGTACCGCTGCGACACCGACTACATGACGCTCCGGACCGTCATGCCGGCCGAGCGGGTCACGGACGACGTCAACATCATCGATCCGGCCATCTCTACGACGCGGCGTGACCACAACGAGCTCATCATGAAGAGTTCCGACACGATCCCCGTGCCGCGGACCAACCACTACGTGCTAGCCCTGCAGAAGGAGAAGGCGCCGGCCACCGAGGTGTCGGTCCTTAACATCGCCTCCATCATAGAACAGTGCATGAGCAACGGGCGCGTGGACTCTCGCTTCGTCGAAGTGCACAAACAGTCGGACCAGGGCACGCAGGAGCTCAACAAATTTTACAGCCAGGCCTGTTGCGTCTCGCCCCGTAACCTCGGTCTGTTTCTACAGTGCCTAAACTTTGAGATGATGGACTCGGACATGTTTGGGGCCACCTTACAGTGCCTCAAGATGACCAAGGGCATACCCACTCCGCGCCAGGAAGAAATTGCCACCTACTCAAACACGGCGCTATTTCGGATGGCCACCAACCTGTTTTATCACACGCGTTTCTGCAGGAGCTACCGCGGCGAAAACACCTACCTGTACGACTCGCGCTTCTTTAACGACTTTCTACTCTGGGTCCAGTCGCCCAACTATCTGGAACACCACATCTCGCCTAGCGTGTCGTCGTCCATCATCTCGTGGTGCACGTCCATGTCTACTGCCATGCACACTACGCGCGATGCCAACGGAGCGAAGTGCGCCATGGCGGCCATATCCACGTGCGAGGTGGACCAACGCATACTAGCCGACTTTTTGAACATGTTCATCAAGCTCTTTATCGAGGACGAGACCGAGATTAACGTCATCAACAAGAAATTTCTCGAGAAGGAACTACTCAAGGCTTTTGCCTCCGTGTCTAATTGCTACAACCTGTTTAGGGGGCAGTTTGTTTCGGCGACGGCCTTGCGCCTCTTCCTAGCCCGTTGTAGGTGGTCCGTGGCCGACGACGTGGAAGTCATCGTTCCGGTCGAAACAAAGTTTCTCAACAGACTGATATGCGACAGCGACGACCTGTTGTCCAACTCGATGCGAGACAAGCTCCGTAAAACCATGGAAGACGTCTCCACGATGATGGCGCCGCTACTCTCCAATCCATCCACGTCCACGCCTCGCAGCAAGGACGACGACAGCAACGTGCCCATATGCATTTGAAATAAAAAACCGCCAACGCCCCCATATACATTAACAAAAAGGTTCGGTGACTGATTTGAACGATCGAGGGAGTAAAATGTTGAAACAGGTCACGTTCGTCGATATCTTTTCGCAACAAAAAATGAGGACCCTGCGAGACTATCTCCATTGCGAACTGGACCTTTCGGTATCGATACCCTATAAAATCTGGATCGCTATCGCAAATTTCTTTATTCAAAACAACGTCCCATCGGTCGTAGAGGGAGCAGAGTGTTGTCAGAAAGACAGCTCGTCGTACCACTATCTACTCGTCTTTTCATACAGGGACAAGGACGCCAACCGAGTGGTGGTGGACTGCATAAACTTCATCAACGTGCTGCGCGATCTCAAGGTGCACGACGTGATATGCACCAAGCACTACGTCTACCTCTACGTCCGTCACTCGTCGGCGCATCACAACGTGCATGCAATTCTACCCTTTCTCCACCACGTTCTGCAAAGCTATGTAAACGACAAGACGACCACTTTGCCACTCGATTACACTTTCGATCCCCTGGAAGAACAAGAATCCTTCTTCGACGTGATTCCAGTCACGTACCACGGCACCTACGAGGTGACCACCTCTCTACCGGCGCTCGTGGCCAAAATCAAACCCAAGGAAGACGGACAGTATGTGTCAGATCGCCTTTATTGCGAGAAGCATTGGATGTGTCTACACAATCTGGTCGTCTCGAGGCTCGTCGACTGTTTCTACTACATCACTATACAGAAATTGCAGATATTAAAAGATGTTACAAAGTCAAACATTACGTCCACCAACGACTATGGCATTTACAAAGTGTCGTATTACAAGAAGTGACTCGCTTTCGCTTGTGTTTGTCTGCTTTGCCTAAAATAAACGCTTACGCTAGCTTGCACGCTGCTATACATCTGTGTCTCTATGTGTGTGCGTCTGTGTGTGTGTGTGTCCAAACAAACGTTCTTTTATTCACAACATGTCGTTGTAAATGGCGTCGAAACTAGGAAATCGGAGGTTGCTCAGTCGCCGCTTGTTCTTCTTATAGGCCCGTCTGATGAGGCTAGTGGTGAACGTGCGAGACCAGTCGCTGCTCTGTCTAAAGATGCAGAAGACGCGTCGTAGATCCATCGTCTTGATGCAGGGACACAGACAGCGGGTCTCGTACCACTTGTAGACGGCAGCAAGGGCTTCCACGTCCGACCAATTGTCGTAGTCGTCATCAAACTCCATAGCACCCATCATGTAGAGCGCCGAAAGCGCCTTGATGGCGCTGGAAACCGCAAGGTGTTCGCCGCTAGATTCGATAACGTAAGCTCGTATGTCCACCGCAGATTCCAACGCGTCGCTGGCCTTTAGGGCCCTTATGACGCTCGCAACGTCGGCGAGACTCGCGCGGCACGCCTTGTTCTGCCCCATGGTCGTGATCGGTCACGTGACGAAAGCGTTTGTTGTCGCGTCCCTCTCTACCACGCGGTCTTCGTACACAAACTCTACGGGCTTTACGTACCACGCTAGCCGGTCCTGCTGCGTGGTGTAGAGCGTGGTGTACTGAAGCAGCTTCAGGTATTTCGTGACAATCTCCTCTACTTTCTGCCGACGCTCGTTCGCCTTAGGCCAGTCCTTGGACATTGCGGCCGCTCGCCTCCGCGTAGTGGACCCTTCCATAGGTGCCGCGGCATCGACCGCCGCCAGTAAAATGTCAAAGAAGCTAGTCTCCTTCGTTGCGGCGTTCATCATTGCGCGAAACAGGTCCACCTTCTTGCCGTCCACCTTTTTAGATGAGCTTATCATAAACGGGAGCATCTCGTAGCCGCCGTACAGCAAGATTGGCACCACAAACGACAGCGGGTGAAGATCGGAACTACTGACGCGTACAGCGCGAGTAAAGAGATCGTCCTTGATGTGGTAGTAACCCGCCTGACGACTGGGAAGAGACCTTTCCAGCAGAGACACGGCGTGTTGCACGCCGCCAAACTCGAACCTGTGTTCGTCCTGTCGCTTCTTACTCTCGCTGTACTGGCGGGCCGAATACACGTAGACGTCTCGCGAGGGTATCTTTTCCACGACCGCAGCTACCCCGAGGAGAATGTCCGAATCGTCGGTGACAACGACGGACACGTCCCAGCGCTCGTCGTTTGGCGGCGGACACATTAAAGAGTCCACGACCTTGACGTCGCCTTCCCCCACGTAGAACGGCGGCAGGATCGTAAAGGACGAGAGTTGGTACGCTGCAGCCGACTCGTTCGAGTAGCCGTCAATCACCTCTTTGGCGTAGAGTGAGTTCTCGAGAAGCGTGGCATATTCCCTGACGTGCTGCATCACGTCCGAGGCCGCGGTCAATCGGCAGATTGTGGCCATGGCGTCTTTGCCGTACCGTGCCAAGTTTTTGAGCCTTCCGTTCAGGACAGACTGCAGTCTCGAATTTTCGATGGTCCGAACTCGCTTGGTGTCCTCGCCAGACGAGTTTTTGATGACGTTGGTCAGCTCTCTACTGCGACGCTTGTACTGCTCGGGTCACTTTACCGTCGGCGACATTCCGTCAAACACCACCACCACGTCAACTCCCACACGCCTGTTTAGGGACAGCCCCTTGACGACCCTCTTGACCGTCCTAGATATGCAATGAAACACCGTCGTGAAGAAGGCGTCGTATCGGATGCAGCGTTCGCACGGTCTCGCCTCGTACTCCTTGTCCCAGTCCAAATCTCGAAGAACAAACGCGTCGTCTTCGCTATAGTCTTCGACGTAATCGCCAACCAGATCTCCGTTGGTCTCGCGAACGTAGTGTTTGATAATCTCGAGGTTCAAGGCTTCCCACGCTCGCTCTCGTTCCTCTCGGTCGGCGATCGCTCGTGCGGCATCGATCTTGTCCGCAAACGTCTTGAGATGGTGGTCCGTCAGCGAGTGCTTGCAGTGGTGTAGAAAAATGTTACCGTCGACGACGACTTGAATGCGCGCCGACTCTCCGATCACAAACGAGGACGTCACGCTCTCATAGTCGAAGTGACGCGCAGACGGCGTAGGCGAAAAATACGTCCGCAAAACGAGGTTCGTGGCCGTCTCGACGTTACTGCCGGGGTCGTCCAAGAGCTGTAACTGAGACTCGAGTAACGGTGCCAGTTCCTCCTCGACGGCGCGGTTGCAAACTGCGTTGAGTGTATTCCAAAGATTTCGGATACCCATGGTGTCAATACGTTTATTGTGTGTGTAGAAGGGCGACGCTTAAGTACTCTCATCACACAAGGTCACGCCAAATAATGGAGGTTGTGTTTTTTTTAATTGGACGAGAAAGTGATACAGTATGCGTAATCCCTCTACCTGGGTGAAGGGCATCGGGTGACCTCCACTCGAGTGGGTAAAGTAACGCCCGCTCCCCTTGTTTAGATAGAGGAAGGGCTCTTGTAAAATGAACTTGAGGGGACAGAAGCGCTTGTTTGTTTCGGGATCGAGATGAGTGGAGAGCACAATCGAGTTGTCAAAGCCGGTTAGCTCGAGGGTGCTGCCTGTGGGTACGTGCGTGTATGCCGTTTTGCTCGGCACAAAGCTGACGATCGGCTCGTTGGTTATGTTGTTGATCAGAGACGGAATCGCGGCAAGACCCCTGTTTATTCTCTCTTCCCAGTCGCTGTGTTGGAAGAGGACGTTGTCCACGGTGCGCAGCACGTCTAGTAGCCGAATCTTTTTCGTTGCCGTCATGGCGTTGGCAATCACGCTCGGAATTCCTATCGTCTCGCACAGTCGGGGTAGTATGGTCTTGACGGTCGACTCGACGCTCTCGACAATTTTCTCCACCACGTCCTCTTGCAGGCCGGAAGCCTTGAGGCAACCCACGCCGCCACTCGCGATGCCGCCGCCGCGCTTCTTTCTCACGGTTTCGTCCAGGTAGACCATGACGGACGACGTCTTGACGTTGTTGATGTCGTTGACCACGTCGGAGATGGTGGGTTGCCGCACGCCCAGAAGGACCTCCCTCTTCTTTAGCGAACGGAGCTCGGCCGCGGCCACGCCGCGCGGAACGTAGAGGCACGAGTCGTAGGCAAACTTGTACGCGTTGCGGATGGCGGCGGCCGTAAACAGGTAGTCTCCGTTGTAGGCAGAACTAAATAACTCCAGGTTGTACATGGCGCGCACGCCCAGGGCTACGGGCTCTTCGCCGACGCCACCCGTTCCGCCAAAGGGCAGATTCGTGACTGTGCTTGCCAGCATTGTTATTGCGTCTGCATTCAACCAGCCCGCCTGATAGGTCTGACTCGAAAAGATTGTCTTCTCGTCGCTCCAGTCGCCTTCCACGTAATCGTTGTACGCCGGAACGTTTTTGAGAAACACGTAGGACCAGAACATGGGGTAGCGTTCCACGAGCTTGGGGTGATTCCTAACCAAATACGTGACGTGATCGTACGGATCAATCACCGATTTGTACTGGTCGTATAGGACGCGCCCGACAAAAGCCAAGTCTGCGCTCTCGTTGGTGTAGGCCGCCCTGCGTGGAATGAGGATCTCGATGGGCAGTACGGATCTCTGGTCCGAGACGCAGACGCGGACGTTATCGACGCTAAGGATCCAGGGAAAGGATCTGCCCAAAACCTCATAAACGTGTTTTCTAAAGAGACGTTCGCTACCGGCTCGATGGTCGCTCGCGGAAGTCACCGCGTTCCGGAGAGTGAGACTGTCGTAAATGTCGGATCGCTTGTTCTTGTCGGTGTTTTTCCAGAAATATGCCAGCATCATGTCGTAGACTATGGTCGCATTAGATGCTACGTTTCTTTGGTCGGGTGTCGTCAGTGGGACGGTGTCTAGTCTGTGGTTCGTACTAGTACTACTACTAGTAGTAGCAGTAGTAGTACTAGTAGTTGCAGTAGTAGTAATAGTGGTCATGGGAGCCGTAGTTGTATGCACAGTCGTATTGAAAGGGGGAGTTGCGGCCGTGGTGGTGCTGTGGGGATTGTTGTAATTGTCGATTCGCGAAGAAGGCAGGAATGCACTCCTAAACATGTCCATTTTTATTTATAGAACGTTCT